CTTTCATTTTACATTATTTTTGACAGGTACAAACATGTATAGAGAATATTGTGATCATTTTTATACCACCACCTTTGTATTCCCACTCTTGCTGACACTTCTCTTCCCAACTAGATAACAACTTACCCTGATGTTCTGTGTGCATGTGTTGTGCAGGAAGTCACATCTGTGTATTAATTATTGCCATGCCATATCCAGAAAATAGTGTTCCATTAAACTCTTCATTAACATCAAGCTCTTCAGTCTTTGTACCAACTCTTTTGTGACATCCCTTAGGCCTTTGGAGGGTGTAATATGTATGCCTCATTTGAAGAGAAACACTGAAAAAAGTCACTTGTTTTCAGTACTTTGACCAGTTTTGAGTCTTCTTTTAACCATTACTCTCTATAAAAAGAAGCTTCTCTGACCCAGACTGAGAGCAACACCAGTTTATGGGTATATAGATCAATGGTTAGGATGCAATTTGGACATATTCATTTAGAAAAAAAACAACAACAGTAGTCTGTTATTCCCTAGTGCTTGTAACCTTCCCAATGATAGGCTTTTGATCAAGTTTAAAAGCATTAATACTTATCCAGAGGTCCTGTCCTCTGTGCATGAGCTGGCTGTTTGGAACCTGGGGCTTATACAGGGACACTTGGCTCAGCCTGGGAGGAGGGGACTGGACCTGCCTGGACGGAATCTACCAGGTTGAACTCAATCCTCAGGGGAGTCTTTGCTCTGGAGGAGATGGGAATGGGGGGTGGGCTGGGGGGAAGGCCGGGGGGAGCGGGAGTGGGGCGAACAAGGGAATCCGTGGCTGATATGTAAAATTAAATTAAATTATAAAATAAAAAAGATAAACTTTCAGATAAAAAAAAGCATTGATACTTATATGTTCATTTTCATGAGGGGCAGACCCAAAAACCAAGCAGAAAGTGGCAGGTTACTCCTATAACAGTCATGCCCCTATTGTACCAATGGACTCATTTTTCCTGGCACAGCGGAAGTTTAGCACACAGGACCTTAGTTGGGAGAGTTCATTGATGATTTTTCTCCTAATAGTTTTTCCAGCACTTTCCAGCACGATGACTGATAACCAGTAGGAAGAGAGTTTGCAACTCAGTTCCAGTTTGATTCCTTTAAGCCCTGTATCCAATGTGTATGATATCTTCAGCAGTAAGTTCTTACCATCAAGTTCTGGTGAATGAGCACAGTAATAATATCATGTATTATTTGGAGATCCTCTGAAGGCTCTCTGGCCAACAACTCATATGGAAGTATCCCACCTGACACTATATAGTAGTAGGTTTACATAAAATTTCCCCATAGATTCTTAGACTAAGGTAACCTCCCCCAACCTCTACCACTCCTGATCCTTCCATTCCATCCCATGTAAACTGTTCCCAGTTTTCCTCCTCCGCTGTACTTTAATACCATATATGCTTTGTTTGCTCCTCTCCAAGCCACATCTCATGGATAATTTTTTTCTTCATAGTAGAGACTGAAGGGTCTCTTATGCATTATCATATTGCATGCAATAAGACTAGTTTGATTTCTTCCTTTTCTACTTACATCCCTTTATTAGTTTCTTTTCTTTTTTCTTTTTTTTTTTTTTTTTGCACTAGCTAAGACTCAGGGTACCATATTGAATAATTAGTAGAGGAAATAGATGCCATGTCTTCCTGATGATTTTAAAGGAAATGTGTTTTTTCCCATTTAGATAATGTTGTTTGTGGGTTTGTCAAATATACCCTTTACTATATTGATCTATGTTCCCTTTATCCTTAATCTCTCTAAATATTTTTTATCATAAAGAGATGTTGGATTTTTTCTGTGTTTATTGAGATGTGTGATTTCATGTCTCAAAGATATTTAGTGCTGAATAACATTTAATAATTTATGTGTGTTAAACTATCCCTCCATCTCTGGAATGAAGCCAATCTAATCTTGGTGGATGATGGGTTCTTGAATTTTGTTTGTTTCATTTTTACTGTGAATTTTTGCATGAATGATTATCAGTGAATTTGGTCTATGGTTGTTTTTCATCTCTCCTTGTGTATTTGTGTCTGGTATCATTTCAATGCTGAAATTGTAGGAAGAAACTGAAGCTTTCCCTTCCTTTCTATTTTCTAAAAATTACTTTAAATGTATATGTGTTTTGCTTGAATGTGTATCTGTGACTCTGTGTGCCCAGTGCTTGCAGAGGCTAGAAGAAGACACTGGAATCTTTGGAACTACAGGCATAGCCAGATGTGAGCTCCCATGTAAGTGCTGGGAATTGAACATGTGTCCTCTTAAAGATCATCAAGTGCTCTTAACTGATGAGCTACCTCTCCATTCCACCCCTGCCCCTACTCTTTTTCTCTTTGGTGGAATAATTTGAGAATTATTTACTGTTCATTGTTCTTTAAAGGCATGGTACAGTTCTACAGAGAATCCATCTAGACCTTAGGGTTTCTATTTTAAGTCAGAATATTTTAAATTATTGCTGCAACCTCACTGTTGTAGGTGAGTGTAAATTGTCTGGTTCATTTTGATTTTCCTTTGGTATATTGTATGCATAAAGAAATTCATTCATTTTTTTCAGATACCCAATATGGTAAGATATAGATTTTTATGGTATATCTTTAAATTTTTCTGGATTTAATTTGTATCTGTTGTAACATTTCATTTTTTGCCTCTAATCTTACTAATTTCATTCTTTATGCTCCCTCCTTCTTTTGTCTGACTTGAATAAGGGTTTATTAATTTTATTTATCTTTTCAAGAAGCCAACTTTAATTTCATTGATTCTATTTATTGTTTCCTTTTGATGGCTTGTTTTATGATTTCTTTTTATCTACTATGTTTTGGGTTGGTTCTCATTTGTGTAAGGACCCAAGGCACATTATTAACTTATTTATGTGACATAGCTCCAATTCTGCAAGACAGACCTTTACAGTTATAAAGTTCTCTCATAGGGCTGCCTTCATAATATTCAAAAGGATTCATTATGACTGTTTCATTTTCAATCAATTATAGAAACTTTTTTATTTCCTTCTTGATTTCTTCTGGGATCCACTCATTATTCTGCAGTGTGTTGTTTAATCTCAATGAGTTTATGTATTTTCATTTCATGTGCTACTGCTATTTCTAGATTCATTTCACTCTGATACAATAGAATTCAAGATGTTATTTAAATTTTCCTGTATTTGCTGCCTTGTGTACCAGTATGTGACCTATTTTAGAAAAGGTCACCTGGGCTTCTAAGAAGAATATGCATTCTGTCATATTTTAATATAAACTTCTGTAGATGTCCAAGTCAATGTGTTCTGTGATGTTATTTGTTTCTTCTCTATTTTCAGTCTGGATGATCTGTCTTTTGGTGAGGGTGGAATATTGAAGTCACTCACTGGTATTGTGTTGGCACTAATCTGTGACTTTATCTTGTTCTCTTTGTTTTAAAAATTAGGAGCACCTTTATTTGGTACATATATGTTTAGAACTGAGTACATATATGCTTAGAATTGTAATGTCCTCTTGATGGATTGTGTCCTTAATCAGTATGAAGAGCCTTTCTTTGTCTGTTTTTTGCAATACATTTTAGTTTGAAGACTATTTTGTCTTACGGTAGGATTATGGTGGTAGCATATGCTTGTTTCCTGGTTCCATTTGCTTGGGATATCTTTGCCCATTACTCTATTAGTACTCATCTTTGATGGTAAGATGTGTATCTTGGAAGCAACAAAAAGAGATATCCTATTTTCTGATCCAACCTGCTATTTTGTGTCTTTTGATTGGGGACTTGAGGGCTAGCTATAGTCCCCATGATCCAGTAGTATGCTGGAGATATGTGGATGGAGATGGTTGCAGGTCTTATTCTCTGATCTCCCACTGGTTTTGTAGGAACTCACCATGGGTCCCAGGCAGTGATTCTGACTTTACACTGAGTTGTTCACAGTTTTATGTCCTCTGTTGTTTTTATGGTTACTACAGTTTAAGATCTTGTACCCTGATCCATTGTACCTACTAATCTATTTTGAGTAAACTTTTTGTGTGGTATAAAAAATCATTTAAGTTCATTCTTTTGCATATGTTCATACAGTTTTCCCCACACTATTGGAGAAATTTTCTTTTATTGTGTCTCTGAGCACACTTTGTCAAAGTTAACTTTGTCAACGTTAATTCTACATATAAGCATGAATTTATTTCTGAGCTCTTTTATTCTTCCACTGATCTTCATACTAACGCTGTAGTATTTTGATTATTGGCATTGTTTACAGCAGTAAATAAAAACACACATCTAATAGAAGATGGAAACAAAACAGAACCCTCTACCCCTCCCCCAAAATTCCAAAGGATTGTTGAGAAAGCTTGACAATCTCTGATGGTAATTTACCTCTTCTATACTATCCTATTCCCCAACAGCATTAGGATTAGTCATATACAGTACTGTAGTTTATAATATTCTGAGGTACTTGTTGCTGACAAGGGAAAGTACTCATTGTTCCATTTCTCTGTAGATGATCATTTCCTTCTTCATCATGTAACTCATAGATCATAATTATCTTTTGTGTGACATGGAAAAGAATAGTACATGACCATCTTTCCATATGCATATACATATAAATGTATTCTGTACCTTAAAATAGATGTTACATGCTATGGACAATTATTCTATTAGCTTACAAACTCAACTCATTGGAGACAATGACGTTGACAATGTTTTCTGATATTTGTTATTTTTTAAATCATGAATGGCATATTGTTCTTGGAATCTCTAAACTTGCAAGAAATTCCTGTTGATGATTTGAGCTGCATATTGTAAATTCAGTTGGCTAAGGTTGATCCACTCAAAACCCAGTGAGAGAAAAAAGTTAATCTCAACATAACCCTTTACCTACTCTGAGACTCCCCATGTATCTGCAATGAATGTTATTAAAATCTGGCAGATGGGTGGGGCATATTCTCCATTAAACTGTTTATCATTGTCTTGTGTAACCAATCACATCTTTACTTCATTATTTTTCCCTATTTAAGGTAATGATCCTTGAGTTCATAACACCTCCTGCCTCAAGGTAATGATCCTAAAATTCCTATTGTTTTTTCATTTGTTCACTTTTCCACTATGTGTTTTCTTTAAAACAGCATGGTACTCTTTGTTCTATTGCTTATGTTTCTATCTTGGATTCTCTTCTATTTGGCATAATTAAAAATTTAAAAAGTATATTTGTGATTGGGTAAGTTCTATATACTTAAATACTTCTGTTTAGATTTGATAACTATTTCTTCTCCCAAACCATGTTTCTGCTTTGCCTCTGGGATAACCCACAGGAAACTGATACACTGATGAGAAGAGATTGAGCTGCCACTCAAACACGCCTACCACCACACCCCCTTCCTGCAGCTCAAGGATGAAATGACATTATTTATTGTGTTTTGCAATAACACTCCAGATTTAGCTCCAGAGGGCTGAACTTTATCTAAACAAGTTCTTTTGTCCCAAGTTCATGTTTATGGTAGCATAAAAATCCTGTAAAAGCAACAAGAAGGTGGTAAATGATATCTTTGAAATATCATAGGGGAATCTTGGCAGCAATGAAATGTGCTCAGTCTTCCAAGCAGATATAAAGCCGTCCTTCACAGGGACAGACAAGTTTACAGTGTTACTGATGCTCATTAGGCTTGGGATGAGGGCTACTCACAGAGAATCACAGAACACTTCATGGAGCAATCCCTTAAGATGCAGAAATCTAGAAACAAACCCTGACCTACATTTTCCTTGTTTCTTTTCCTCCTTTAGGTGCTCAGTGACTTCAATTGCCATCAGTATGTTAACAAAGTTTGTAAACTAATGATCCAAGAATTAGAATTGGTATAAGAAGAGTTTGTGTTGAAAAATAATTTCATTTTATATAAAACTCTACATTTCTCATTTGACTTTTTTTTTGATAATAGGAATGCCAGGAAATCCTAAGCTAATATTCCCATAAAACAGCAGCTGTTGCACAACAGCTTCATAATTTTGATGAACTCTGGACTAATTCCCCACAATGCTATAATATCTTAATTTATTCCATTTCATCCATTTGAGTAATAGAGTTGAACTCTGATAATACTATTTCTGCCTAAAATCATATGAAAATTAAGCACTTATGGTTGATATTTTACAAATTAGTTGTATCAGTCTCTGTAGTAAAGGAAAATAGCCCACTGATCATGGTAATAAATCCTGCTCCAGAGTTTATTAGGTCTCTAATAACTTGGAAAATAATAAGATGAATGCTTCTTCAACTATGGATATGAACATGGTAAACCTGGTTGTTAGGCTATTATCCCATGTCCTGTAACTGCAAGATGGGAGGCTGAATGTCAAACATGCCATAGAAAGTCTGAGTCTCACTCTTACCCAGGAAAGCTGTTTAGATCTGGCCAAAGGTACAATTCTATTAAACCAGGCTTTTATTTTATCTTGAGCTTTATTACGCCAGCATGGCTAATGCTTTTCTTATTATGAAACCTCTCTAGTAATGTTAAATGGTAATGCCTCCAGAGGTTGCTTTGTTGTACAGGATTGTTTTCTAACCAACCTTCTTACTTATATTTCCTAGTTTTGAAAACATGCTTCTCCTGGGCTAGTCTTACTAAAGTAAGTACTCTGTCTGCCTTGGGTAAACATGGTCTGTACTCTTGAATTAGTCACTTGGTCAATATTTGAATATCTTTAAGTATCCTATGATAACAGTAGTTCCACAGGTTTGTGGAGGTATTGCTAACACAGCAAACCTGCTACATGGTTTAAAGGTGTCTTTGGGAGGAAGACTGGGTCACTAAGAAGTAATTGCTATTCGCCTGAAAGCAAGCTGAATTTATTCCAAGTGCAGTGTAACCAAATTTCACACGCCTGCAAACTTCCAAATCAGTTTCAATATTCTATGAATGTAGGACCAATGCTGTCACAGTGATATTCTGCTATTGAATATACAAAGTTATTGTCACAGTCAGATGGCTAAAATTTCCAGGCTTGTGTCTCTTATCTTGTATCATACCAGAGGCGACACTACTCCCTATTCCTACCACTTTAAAGCCTGGTAGTCCAAGAGTAGAAATCAATATTCTAAAATTTACTATGCAAACCTGGGGGTCTCTAGTATGCTGTTAGAGTATGAGAAGTGCAATTGGAACCTATGGATGACCTGTCACTGCTCATGGCACTGTGAGTTGTTCATTTCGTAAGAACTGTGAAAACCACTCGGGCATTATCTTAACATTCTTCCTGAAAAAAACCTCTATGCCATCTTCTTGGCTTTATTTTGTTTAGGTTTATCTTGTTTTGCTCCTCCTCCTCCCTCCTCTCCCTCCTCTTCTTCCTCCTCCTCTTCTTCTTCTGCATGTAAATAAAGCTGAATTCTCAACGTTCTCCAAATTGCTTTTAAAATATTCTCCTATGAGATACCAAGTTATTGTTGCTATTTCACGTTGGATGTTTGGGGAATGTAGATGGGATTAAATAACTATTCTTTGTGGGGGTGGGGGATTGTTGGACGCAAATATTCCTGGAATGAGAAGAGACTGCTTAACACACAAATAAATACCCCATAGTGAATTCAAGAGAGAGATTTTCACAGTAGTTTTACTTTCTTTGTCTTGAAAATAGTCTCATCTTGGGCAGTTAGTTTCTAGTCTCTAGGAGTCACCTGAAGGTTAGCTTTGTGAAGAGATTAGTTAAACCTGAGTGCTTATATAAAAAGCACAGAAAAGGGAGAAAGAGGTTCCATGTCTTTGTTGTGTGACTATAAAATGATTTTCTAAATTTTTTTCTTGAAACTAGTAAAAGACATATTATTATTATTATATTTATTTCAAATGTTTAATGAATTTATATAGTTGTTTCAATTTACCTTAAATGTTTAAAACAATCATAATTAAATTGTTTACAAGTATGAAACTACAGAACATAAACAAACTCATGGAAATGAATAAAACACACTATGGAATGATGAGTGGGTCATTGAAGAAATCAATCAATAAATATATTCCAACCATTGCATGCAAATGAAAATACAACAAATTATATGTGGTACAATAAAACAGAACTAAGAATGAGGTTTATAACTATAAAACTTACATATAAAATATTCAGATAAATCTAAAATAAATAACTTCATGATAACAGTAGGATTTTGAAAAAAAACTAAGCCCAAAATCAGTAATTAGAAAATCAACTAATCAGGATCAAGGCAGAAATTAATGAAATGGAAACATACAAATAAAAATCTTATAAAAATAAATTAATAAAACAAAGACTTGGTTCTTTGAAAAGACAAGCAAAACCAACAAGCCCTGTCAAATATCAAAAGAAACAAAGACTCAAGTTAATAAAGTTAAAGATTAAAAAATGAGACATTAATAACAGACAATAGTGAAATTCAGAACAATATTACACATATCTTAAAAATATATTCTATGAAGTTTCAAAATTAGAAAGAAATAGATTTATTTCTACATACATAATGACCTACCACTATGAGACAAATAATATAAATATATCTATAGCAAAAAAAAGATGGAAATAGTAACTAACTATAAAGCAAATAAGAATTCCCAACTAAAAACATTTCCAGACCAACACTGATTTCACTGCTGAATTCCATCAGACTTTCAGAAAAAAATATCACCAATGTTTCTCAAACTTTTCTGTAAGATAGGAAGCAAAGGGATTCTACTAAACTCTGATATCAAAACCTTTACTATCTGACACTAAAACAAAATAAAATAAAATCCTCAAAGAAAATTTTGAGTATACAATATACAAAAATCCAATCCAATGTAAAGTATTTAAAACTAGTAATTGTCTTTTAAAAGTGGATTCAATAATCTATCTTTTTATCTATATCATATCTATATCTTCTCTTAATTTTTCCAAGTAGATTCAATAATTACCCTCTATTCTATAATTTCCATATATCCTTTTTTTAACAAGAACCTTAAATCTAATCTCCTTTGCTTAGCCCTTTTCCTAACCCTGAACAACAACTTATAACCAACCATCCTAAATGATGACAATTATCCCAGACCCAAAACCCATTAAAAGACCAAAAAACCACCCGCCCCACACCACGTCTTTGGGAATGTGGGCATTGTATTCTTAAAATTGCTTCCTGCTGGATATGGGTGAAGGTATCTTTATTCTGAAAAGAAAAAATTTGGGTTAATTGTCAAATTCTAGGAAAGGTAGCTATATCCTTTGTTGTCCAATCTGGATTTTTGTATATTGTATACAAATTATATATGTTGAGATTGATATTGTTAGAAAATGCTATACATATATTTCTAATGTTGTTCAAGATATTGTATTTGTACCATTCAAGGTAATGCAATTTACTGATCCTTGAATGTTATTATTGCCAACTATTAGGATATAAAGAAATGAAAGTTAGTAGTTAGACATTACAATTGAACTTGTAGTCATATTAGGTATTTATTGCTTGTATATATTGTATATAGTTATTGTACTTTTGTATATAGTTTTTCTCATATTAGTTATAACTTTTTTCTTTCTATTAAAATAGAAAGGGGAAATATGATGATATTTTATTTATGCTGAAATGTGATTTTATTTATATGTTAGTAAATAAAAGTGCCTGGGGGTCAGAGCTAATAGCGAGCCATAGCAGAAGTCTGGCAGTGGTAGCACACGCCCTTAATCCTGATCACATGACAGGCAGATCTCTGTGTGTTCAAGGACACCACCAGCATTGGGGACACATGCCTTTAATCTCAATACCAACCATAGAAGACCTGGAGGTCTGTATAGACAGGTAGTGATGAGGAGGTCATGTGGTTGGGTTTACAACCAGTGAGTAGGCAGAACAGAAAGTCAATAAAAAGACAGACACACAGGAAGTAGGTCTCTTTCTGAGGGGAAGCACGGCAGCGGCAGCAGGTGGTAAGAAGGCGGTCTTGATCTCAGCTCTAAGACCTCTGGAGTTTTTAACTCTGAAAAAAAAAAGAAAGAAAAGAAAATTGTGAGTAAAGATTAGTTGCCACAATGAACAGAGATGTAAAATATTTGTAACAAAATACTTACAAATCAAGTTCAAAGGCACATATAAAAGATCAACCTTTGTTGGGTTGGCTTCATTCTTGAAGTGCATAGATGGTTCAATGTATGAAAACAAACTAACAGATAAATCAATAAAATATACCAAATAACCAGACTCTAGAAAAAAAATCATATGATTACTTCAGTAGATACAGAAAATGCCAGGCTAGTCAGACCAAAATTTCACTAAGGTAAGTGAGTGAAATATGGGTTATCAACATGATACAATTTCATTCCTCATCATCTTCATTCCATCATTCTAGAACATTCTAGCATGTCATGATTACTGAATTTATGCATCAACTCTGCATTTACCTGTACTTTGTTCTCAGGCAAACCTTTTGAGCGATTTTTGCAATTAACACACCTGGAAAGTAGAAACTAATCACATCTGTATTAAGAAGATACTCAGCAAAACAATGATCCAGTACACAAAAAATTTAATTACAACTTCTTGGACACTGTAATATTGAATGTCTTTTTATAGGATTGGCAATGTTACATTTTGTGAGATATCAGCTTCTGTCCCAATATTATTTCCAGCCTAACTTTGAGATTACCCTTTACAGTTTCAACCCACAAGACAACTCTAATAATAATACTTCACTAAACCTTTAGATGCCCAGAGAAATTCCCGAGGCATACCTCCAATTCACTCTTTTATTCAATATTGGGTTTACTGAGTTCTGTGGACATGCTATTCAGAATCCTCCTCATAGCTGGTGCTATCCAACTCAAGAACTTCATAATGTATCTCTTTGCTTTCAGCACATCTGGAATCTCTTGAATAAGACTCAGACTTCATTCAATTGTCATGTGTACTCATGAACATTTATCTCAGACAACTGAAAACTTATATTCACATAAAAGCTTATACAAAATATTTCTAACAGCATTTTTCAAAATAAACAAAACTTAGCAGCAATCCAGATATTCTTCAACAGATAAAGAGTTATGTAAACTGTGGTCAGTCCATATCATGAAATATTTCTCCACAATGAAAAGACAGAAACATTTGTCTTGGACAATCTTTAGGATATAATGCTAAGCAGAAAAAGCCATTTCAATCAGCTATACACTATAATTTCATTTACATGATGTATTAGGGTTCTTTAAAGGAGCAAAACTGATAGAACTGGTATTCAAGGAGATTTATTAGAATGACCTGAAAAATTATGGGCTTGGTAGACAAAGAATGGATGTCTTGAAACAGAAAGGTCAAGAGTCTAGTAGTTGTTCAGTCTATGAGGTGTGGATGTCTCTGTATTCCCAATCTGGTTCTGGAGTCTGGGAGGATTCCTGAAGACGTTCTGGTTTCAATTTACATTGGAATTAAGAAATTGTATTCATTACTGGCCAAAGCAATAGGGTAGAAAACTTGCCAGCTCAAGTGAGGGCAAGCAGACAAAACTGCAAAGCTTCCTCTTCCATGTCCTTTAATTTAAGCTATCACCAGACGGTGCAGCCCAGATTTGAATTCTTTCCTCCTCAAGTAATACAATTAAACTCTCTTCAGCATGCCCGGCAGCTTGGGTATCAATTTATTTCAG